TTAGCTAGCTATATCGCCCGATAGTAAATAACCCAATTCGAATTGCTAGCTAGGTATATCGGGTAGTATATTGAGTTAGCTAGCTAGATCGCCCGATAGTCGATATTTTTTTTCTCCTTGGGAGTCTTCAAGTGCTGTGTCATATCATTTTTTAAAAAATGACAGATATTAATTAGACCATGTACTGCTCCATAAATGACTGTTTTTGCTTTCGATGAAGAATAGTATTTAAAATTTAAGACTTTTCATTATCTAATTAATACAAATCGTATTGTCACAAATCTTATTGTCAACAACTGAACACACCAAAAGCTTTTTCCAGCGATAGTGTTCGATTCCGGAAAATCATATTTTGTCCTCGACAAACAAATTGATTGTTCAATTTTTCAATCGTACAACTTACACTTTTCAATATTTTCCGAAAAAAATTGTCTTTCTTCCAGTGTTATGCTGCAAATAGAACAAATTACTCAAACAATAACTCTTACTGTTCGGTTCGAAATATTTTCAATCCAATTCCAGTTATTGATGTAGATCGTGTGTCGGATACTGAACCCAAATTAGAAATCTACGTAATACGTGAAAATCTGTTTTATTCTCTACTATTATCGCAGTTCTGTTCTTCGATTATGTATTCATTCGATTCCCATAGAAAACCATTAAAATTAAAGTATTCATTTTCTGTTGTGTTGAAGTTAAGGTGCATGAGCGACAGACAGCCTAATTTCTTTTGAATATGTATTCACTGGTGAACATACGTTATGTCTTGATCCGAACTGTGTCGTTCTTGTCCTTTTCTCTCTTTTTCCATATTTGATTGATTGAGCAAATAAAAAGATTATAAATAAGATCAAGTATAGTTTTTTTCTTCGCTTATACAGTTCAATCAACGTTATCTAATATTACGCCTTGTTTATTACATTTTTTTGAATTTGTTATCTTAACACCATCTGTCGTCACAACTATTGAAATACTAAATTTTATTACTCTTCATTTATCAGTTTAGCCACACGGAGTCCCAAATACAACGTTAGAGAGGTAGAACCATATAAAACAAACTACTGCTAGGTAAGTACTACTGTTTGGAAACACAAAACGTCATGCTAAAGAGTTACAGTCATTCGAAAAATGCGTGAGCCACTCATGATGTGGAATCTTCTTTTGCTCGGATTTTTATTATTATGTAGTTCAACTCTTCCAGTTTATTTGCAGCTGTTTTTAGCTCTTAATTTTGTTTTGGTCTTATTATATTGAAAGATTAATAAAAACATTTTGTATTTTTAGATCGCAAAATTATTTACTCGTTTACAAAAGTAAGATTGTTTATAATATAAGTAATCATACTATGGGAAGGTTGAACTCCTCGGCTACATTTCTGGTAACAAAAGATTTTCGTAGCCCTGCTCCGTAATTATAAAACCTGGCCTGAAGCATATGAAGTAACAATTTTTCGGTAAATTGAATGTTCTCAGCGAAGAAAGAAATAAAAAGCTTTCAAGTTCACCGTTCGACAGAGTGTGAAAAAGTGAATGGGATAGATTTTGTTTTGAATTCCCACGAAAGAATGTTAGATGTTTGAGATCAACGGATTTCTTTCAACAGGTATCATCTGGATTATTTTTCTCATCAACAGGGTTATTTTAGTTAGTGACTCAATAATTTTGCGATCTGGAAATATAAAATGTTTTTATTAATCGTTTTTGTTAATCGTTAGGCATTCGAATAACCTAGGTTATTCGTTTCCTGTCCAATATGTCTTTGTTATCACTCCTGACAAATAAATATATTTATTATTATTTATTTGCAAATAACTAATGATCTGTATGGTCCTTTCAGTGCCCAGCGTATAGCATAAAATAAAGAAGAGAGAGAAAAAATTTTTTCACATTCAGAAGAATAATCCATCTGAGAAGTTTTTCGAAAAAACTAAGAATAAACAAGTGCAGGAAACAGGTCATAGTTAACCCTAGTAGTATCAAGCCTTTTTTTTTTAACACACAGACATTCGAAATGCATTAGCTGTTGTGGGCTATCCTGTGGTGGAGGAAGACACACACGAAGCAAATGAAAACTCTGCATTTTTTTATCTGAAAAAAGGATAAAATACTAACTGGCAACAACATAAAAGAAAAAAACATATATGTATATATAACAATGACCCTAACATCGAATTAAGAATAGAAAAAAGAGTAACAAAATATTCCTACTATGTTTTCAAATTTTTCGGTATGGGTCAAAAATGACCCATTTGGTACCACTAGGGTTAAGGAGAGAAGAAAGAATTCTTACGTCAATCGACCTAATAAGCAATAACAAAATCTGACACAGTGAACAGGCTTACATATATATGACATAAAATACATTTTAACAATAACCAGGTAGTGGCTAGAGAGACGAAGTTAGAAGGAAAATTGACAGTACAGAATAATCATTCCTCTCCTAGAAAGTTTCTGGAAATTTTTGGAGCAGTCATGTATATCAAGATTTGGAATCGAGCAGTTGGAGGTGTTGTCCACACACCATTGAACGCACTTTTCGAGGACCGTAGTATGCTCCACAAATCTTTTAGATCTTCTCGAACATTTGATTGAATTTTCCTCATCTATCTAACACCTTCGAAAATCATTGAGATTTGCTTGTTCAAATAAAAGTTTGCCATCTGTAGATTCGGTCAGAGCAGTCCAATATTTCTCCCAGTAGCGATTACAACGATCATCCAGAAATATCTCTTTGACAACAAACGCGGAGAAGGAATCGAATCAGTGCAAACTGAAAATAACTCGCTTCAAACAAGTATAATAGAAGTGTAACAACTCCGATCGTTGTTTTTCGGTAAAAAGTGGATGGAGGGCAAAAGAGTATACTGAAAAAAGTTAAAATGAAAAATATTAAACGACTAATATTAAAAATCAATTAAATATTTTTCTATCTGAACTAATGAATATTTTTCTTGTTCTAAGATAGAAAAATATTAAAGTTTTTCGCCTAAGACAGAAAATATTTAGTTATTTTAAAATACGGAAAAATATTCAAATACAGAAAAATATTAAACGAACTAATATTTAACTAAGGTGGAAAAATATTTAATCGATTTTTAATATTAGTCGTTTAATATTTGTCTTTTAACATTAGTCTATAGATCCGCTAAAAAATAGGAAGTACGTAGCAGGAACATCAAGTTCTACTCAAGTCGGGAGAAGTAGATCCAGAGGTACGGCAGGAGTTAAACGTTGCAAGGCGCTGTCGAATATTAACCATGCATTTTTTTATCATAGTTGCCGACTTTAGTTTAGGTGTTGTCCAGTATTCTAGATACTTAATTGTTTTAACCCAATTAATTTTATGCTCGCCAGAAAAAATATCGAGTGTTGGACATCCTAAAGCGCGTGCAGACCAAAGAGTTTCTGTTTTTTGGTAATTAATCGGCTGTACAGTAAGGATTGCGTATGCTTCCAATCAATCAAAAAATAGTTTAATTTGTTTTTCGAGATCGAGACACGGTTCAGTATACCGAATGCCGGTCGCTAGATCATCAGCAAAAAAAGGGAAGGCAATAACTCAGGAAATCTCCCATATCAGCGTGGTAGGTTATAAAGAGGGTGGGAGTAAAGATGAACCCTGTAGCCCACCTCTTTTAGTTGTAAACCAGCGGAAAGGTTTACCTTGAATCTTGACAAAGGCCTGCCTGCTCTCTAGCCAAACTTTGATCGATTTTAAATAGGATTTTGGAATTATCATCCTCCTTAACTTTCCTAATAAAAAAGCAAACGGACACAGTCTTCGTAGGTTGCATTGGGTTGACGAACGTCCATCGTTTTTGCCAGAAAGTGTATATCCCATTCCTCCCACATCAGCAGCTAAATTAAAGACCAAGTCACACCCTTTAGTTGCAACTAAACAATTATCATGCACGCGCAAATCCATCTTTAAAAACTCATTACAAAATTCGTTTTCCTGGAAATAGTCATTTCTCTTCCAGTCAGCACAAACAATATAGTGGCCTTCTTTGACCAAGCGACGAGCTAAATGACTACCAATGAAACCCGCTCCTCCGGTTACTAATATACGAAGTTTACTATTGATGTTAATGGGATGCTCAATTATTTTGATTGTGTTTCGCGTTTTATCTGATGTTTTTAACTGATTCAACACAAATTTTGAATCACCATTTCCTAATAATATGATACGAATATGACGATTGTTTTCTTCGACTTCTTCTTTATTTAGTAATCTCCAACAATTGACTATGTATAAAGTTCTTTTGTCCGTACAACTGAAGGTTATATTTTTCCAGCTATTTGAAGCAGTTGCAATTAACAAAATATCAGTATTGTGGCCATAAACAAGTTCATCAACAGAATTAACAAAATGTACGCGCGTATCGCATATTTGAAAGGCCGACGACATAGCTAGTGGATCGTACGCAAGAACGTCAAAAGTACTAATAAGTTTGTTAGCTAATGCACAAGCAGCCGAACACTCTACAACAGGCGTGTCAGGCTTATAAGATAATCCTAATATACCAACTTTTGGTCTAAGAGATGGTGCATTGCCGAAACGGACTTCTGCTATTTGTTCACATACTCTCAATAGTCTGTCAACCTGATAATTGTTCAATTGATCAGTTGCTTCGGCTAATAATGCATTAACGAACACAGATTTTGCTAAGGCAACGAACGCACGGTTATCTCTTGGAAAGCACGGTCCTCCGTATGCTAATGCACCTTTTAAATATTTAGTTCCAATACGGGAGTCACAACCAATGGCGGTAGTAACGACATCAGTATCGGCTCCTGGAAACTTTTCACATAATTCACTAAGCATGTTGGCATACGTTATTTTAGTTGTCACATATGTATTGATAGAAATTTTAGTTATTTCTGCATTGATGAAATTCATTCTTCGGAATAATACTGGTTGTTTGGTGGTTGTTTTTGAATAGAGTGTCTGTAAAGCATCTCCAATGCGCCTGTCACTTTCACCAATTAGTATAAAATCTGGATTTAACATATCTCTAATAACCTGACCTAACGCAATGAACTCAGGGTTGTATGCTAAACCAACTTCACTGTCTAAACAACCGACTTTTCGGCCAGACGATGATTCTAGAACGTCACGGATAATACCACCTGTTGAACCTGGCATTACAGTTGATGTAACAACCACCTGATGATATTTATCGCACAACCTGATCACTTTCCCGATTGCTTTAACAGCCGAAAGTACGTAATCATTACTAAAAAACCCCGTGTTTGGAACCGATGGTGTAGGAACGATAATCATTGTCATATCTGTCTCACTAATGGACTTGTAATAATCCACTGTGGCGTCGATGTTAGTTTTGTATTGATTAATTAGTTCTTGTAGGTGAGGTTCAGACACGGGGGCTTCTCCTCTTTGTAGTGCGTCAACAACTTGCTTCTTTACATCCAAACCAATTACACGATAACCTTTAGATGCGAAGACAGCACACAGTGGGCAACTAAGCGGACATTAGGCCAAAAAGTCGATTTTATCTATCTTGAAATACAAATAGTGCAAAATGTAGCTCTTGAAATTCTCTATCGAATGGTGTATAAACGTCTATTGTGAAA